ATTGTTAGAGCTGAAAGACTTTTTATCAAGGGAGTCGACCAATTTCTAAGGTCCGTGTGGACTTTTCATCCAACAAAGAGTTATCTGAAATGCTCAAAATGAAACGTATATTATTGGATGATGAATACACGTCGTAACAAATTGAACCTTATGTGCCACCAATTCGTATTTTACATTGGTACATTTGTAAAGCATATGATGATCACATAGCTGCCTACTGTCCAAATAAAGAAAATCGCATATGTTTCAAATGTGAACAGAACCATGTTTATGATCGGAATTGTCAAAATGAAATACAATGTGCACATTGTCAAGGGGGACATATGGCAAGTAATCCAAATTGTCCAGTAAAAATTGAAAGACGCCAAATAAAGACTCGACAAAACAAACCATCGAATGATAATCAGTTGTCATGAATACGACAACATCCAGGGTGTTTGGGCGAATACGCCAGATCGATTACGTTTGGTAATGCCTGAATGACAACGTTGATGAATGATAATACTTATGGGAAAGAAGAAAGGGGTATGATTGAAAAAATAAACGATACAACGACGGCAATTATGCAGAATCAGAAAGATCTTCATGAACAATTTACGATGTTGAATACAAAAATCAAAAATCATGTGAACGAAATTGTGGCCATAAAATTTCTTATGAACGATATTCTATATCCATTGATTAGAGAAATTTCGGATATCATATATGGCAAGTCAAAGGTCAAAATAAACAAAAAATAACTCCTTATAAAATTATACAACAAATTAATGAATTATATGGAGAAAAATGACATTAGTTATTTTAGTTAATTTGGTAACGGTAATGCTGATGTGAATGTACAGCAATATTGTGAACGCTCAAATGATGAAAATATCAATTCATTAGCAACATGAATCCGGATGCCAAAGAATTTAAAACACTCCAGAATGAACCGCTAGTAATTCAAGCCGATCATTTATCAAATAATCAAGCAAACATTTTTCAAAAATTAATTTTTTGAATGGACTTCAGCGGGTACATTGACCGATGTATTGGGTAAGTAGGATGAAAGAAGAAAACGTACGCGAGATATGATGAATAGTAAGAGTGATGTATCTATGATTTTGTTAAATGTGAGTAGCTTAAATGTACATCTTTTTAATGTTTTTAATTTCTTGAACTCTATTCACACCTCGATCATCGCCTTAAACGGTACTCATCATGCCGACGTTACTGCAAAATTGTTTTGTAAGCGTTTCTGCAACTATCATGTTTTTTCTCAAAAAGGAACTAATGCGTTTGTGGGATGTTAACAGCAGTTCATCGTTCTATTGCTGTATAATGGTCTGTTGCTGGTTTCAAATTTCGATAAATTTTTGAATGCTATTGTTCTGGATATAGGGTCATCTCCTGAGAAGTTCAATTAGGAACGTGCTACTCTCCATCAAGTGAACGCTTTCTGCCTTTAGCTTCGTCAGGTTTGGGTTTTGTTTCCTATTGTAATGCGCATAGGCCATCCATTCCTCCTCATATCGTAAATCTTATAAAAGAAAGACAAGAAGAAAATCGTGAAGTATTATTACAAAACACTCAACGAATGCGATATAAAATATTTCTGGAAAAAAGTAAAAAGGTATTTCTCTGCCTCATCACCACCTATTCAAGGTTTCTTATCAAATAATAGGCTCATACCCTCGTCTAAGGAAATGTGTGGGTTACCAAAAATATTCTATGAAGAGCAATTTTCTACTCATGTTGACAGTTTCTCGGCAGTGGAAGCAGATATTGTTGATATCAAAAATTGGAGTATGAAATTCAAAATTGTTCAATAGTTTTTCTATTATTGTTAAACATATCAGAAGTGCAATTTCGTCAGTTAAAAATAAAATTCATCTGGTTTAGATGGTATGTCTAATAGAATGACTAAATTGCTACCTAATCTCATCTTTCACTTATCTCTCTTTCTTTCAATTCCTCTATAATTTTTCCTACTCATTGGTTAACAGCACGAATTATTTTATTGTCTAAAACAAAACCTAACGTTGTAAATGTCAACGTCCAATTTCTTTGCTTCCATGCTTCTCTAAATTGTATGAAAAAATGTTCACTCGTTCATGACTCTGGGATTCTTCCCGATGAGCAAACTGGTTTTCATCCAGGTCACAATATGGCTGTCTGTCTTGTTGCTGTCATTGATCAAATTAGTCGACGTTTATCTTCAAGTGCAGCAGCGGCCGCATTATACGTTGACTTTAAAGCTGCTCTCAGCCAGCTCTGGTATAAGGGACTGTGGCTCCAGCTCGAACGTTTGGGGTGTCCTTAACTGTGGTTGTCTCTTCGTCGGTATATTGGTCCTCTAAAGTTAGTCCTCTCAAAGTGCTTATTTTGAATCTTAGTGAACATATTACTCACGTACTTAAAAATCTTCTTTCTTATTCTATTACTTGGAAGCAACCTATAAATTTTAAAAAAACGTTTTGAACACTTTCCCATGGTCAGGCCGCTCCTTTAATCCCTGTTATTATGTGTGATAACCATATCGTGGAACATGTTTCCAAAATTTAAATGTTTAGGCACTATATTTGGTGCGAAATTGTCGTTTTCTTCTCATCTTGATTACATCAAGAGGAAAATCCGTACAAACACCTCTCCGCTTAAATGTCTATCTGCTAGTCGTACGTTAAGCGAGCACTGCTACGTTTGATACCAGTAGCGTATCGCTTATTTTTTGCCTTGATTCGTCCACATTTTCAATCTCTACTTAATGTGTATCCTGTTCTTGCGATAAGTAAACAACATGAGCTTGAAGCATTAAATCGTCAAATGTTTAGAGCTACTCTAGGCTGGTATGATGCCGAAAACGTTGAAAATAGAGGGTTTGCCAAGATACAAATCTATAGAGGCGTTAACACAAATACACTGGGCAACGCTTCTCTCTACCTTACGTGTCACAAATTCTAGTGTGATCTGTGACTATATTCAACATAACCTGTAGTTATTGCTTTTGCGAGAGCACTATGTTAACCCGCAGTTACCAAAAGAAAAGCGTCTGATTTGCAACAGAGACAGAACTGGTAAAAACGTTAAACAAGTCCTCGGCGTTCAAAGAACTTCCCCCCGGTTACTAAACGAAGCTCTATCGTTTCTGTGCTTTCGTTTTTCTCTTGAATTACTTTCTCATGTTTATGATTTGTACATAATGGCGTGATGCATGTGATATTTTCCTAGATGTTTTTTTTCCATGTGGTTTTCTTTTTGATTTTCAGACTACAGGGACGGAGTTTGTCTATAGTCAATGTAAAAGTGGAGCTTTAATTTTATTATATATTTTATTCTTGTATCGCTTATATCTTTGTCAAATGAATAAAAGCAATATACTACCAGTAATCATACTGAAACGTTTAAGAGGGCATGTCAGTAATTGCCTAGAAATACTTTTCAATTAATGAATGCTGAACCTAGAAGGATATGCTGTTGCTAACTGTAACATAACTACGACATATGTTTAAATAAAAAGAAAAAGGAAGGGGGCACTCGGGTTTGAACCAAGGACCTCTCGATCTGCAGTCGAATGCTCTACCACTGAGCTATACCCCCTATGCAGAATTTAGTGATTAGAAAGGTACCATTTTTAATGAAGAAAGTTGTACTCTTATAGGACTCCATTAAATCCTACAATTTTCCTATCATAGGATCTTATAAGATATTTATAGGCAATCACTGACATGTTCTCATAAACGTTTCAATATAACTAGTTTCTTATTAGTAAGAGAATAAAAAGAACACAAATTTGAAATACCAATTTTATTGCAATTGCGGCTGAAATATCTTTAACTTTGTTGAACATAATTAAGAGTTTATTTAAAGAAACAGAAAGCTTATCAAAACTTATCGGTCGATGACTCATCCAAAAAACGGGTATTTTTCACTTTTGACCCACGTAACTCAGTTAGTTGACGGCATATTGTTACGAAATTTTTATGGTAGTGTGGCTAGGGTCTGAGATAGAGAATAAAAAAAAACTTTGAGAATCCATTTACAACAACGGTGTTAGTAGCAAAAATACTTCAAAAATGTCATTGTACAAAAAATTTGCAATTGACTCATATATACTTTATATAGTAGATATAGATATTTCTTTTTCTGAGTTTTCTACAAAAGAAGCTGCGGCTTACTGTGAAACACGATCGAAAACCACTAAAAGCTTGTTAAAAACCTTTTTTTTCTATGGCATTTAAAATTCGAAAAGCTGTTAAAATTCATTTTAGTAAAGTAAGAACATTAAACACTATTTTAAAGATGTTTCGAATAGTCAAACACTAAAAGTGTATCAAAAAAGAATTTTATCACTAACTATGGCTCCAAAAATCTTTCAGGTCAAAATTTAGGCTTTCTGCTCGAATACTCAAATCAAATTTGTATTGGGCCAATGGCCACGTATCGCATCGTTGTTCTCCTGCGTTTTCCTGTCTCTTTTTTTGTTAAATATTTCTGGATTTTTATTTTATTCATTTCATTTATTATAATACATCATCATTCTCACAAGTTCACATACAGTCAGCACAGGTTGGTGATTCCATTCTTGCAACAGATTTTGTTTAGTTTCTTTAGATTTCACTAGATGTTGCTCTCGGTTTATTTACAGACGCGTGGGGCTGAGTTCATTTCTCGTGCTCGATAGCAATTTGAGCATTGGATGACTAACACTTTTGAACTAAACACGAAAGAAAGTTCTGGCTTTCATAAGTATTTCTAGTAATGATAACGTTAAAAATAACTCCATGCGTAGGTTATCGACGATCCTGATCTGACGTAGGATTGTTCTCTCTAACTAGGTTCTCACGCCATCAGATGATCATGAAGAAAGGGACTATGTATTTCCCTTGCAGGACAGGGCGAAAGAGAGTACCCTGTCACGGTCTCTGGTCTAATTTGCTTCAAATTCTATTCTGTTCTAAAAAAGTAAAAAACTGTTTTTTTGCAACGGAAATGTATTGTTATGCGTTGCTTAAACTTTTGGTCTATACTAAAATTCGAACAACATCACCTGTATCATACATGTTCAATCTCAATTGCCAAGGGAATGGTGCTTGGTGGATATCGATTGGTATTTCATAGTTTTTACCAGTTCGCTTATTTACCAATGACAGTTTATTTTCGTCGCAGTTAATCATCAATAGTAGTTCATCATTACTTTGTATGTCACCGTCGTAATAACTGGACGTGGAAACACCATTTAGATAAGCTCTTGTATCATAGCAATACCACCCGTAACTTGACTTTGAAGAGTAGGATGTCACGTTCAGTGCACCTGTCGATGATATAATTCCTACCATTATTTGTTTTAAACGTGTTTTGTCAATTTTTAGAGAAATACGATGTTCACCTGAACTATACAATCCGGTACCCCGAACTTCAGACCAATTGCTCCCGCTTTGTACCGCAACGAGACCATTATCTTCTAATCGAACATTTCCTAGTACTGAATGGAATTTTTCCACAGTAGATTTATTATCTGATTGATTGCCATTCACTTTAATTATTGTTGTCCAATCAATCTGTTTTGAATGGACTGAAACACTCACGTTTGATGATTCCAAGCGCTGTTTATATTCGTTCAATTGCTCCTTCCATCGATCGAGAGTAGATTCAACATAATTTTCTTCGACTTTGCCTTCCTGAAGTTCCATAGATATTTCCACTAATTGTTGCTTTATGGTGTCTTCAGTTTTGTGGAGCAACTGCCGAACCTTTTCTCTCGCTTGTTCAGCTGCCACGGTTATCTTTTGTATCGTTTCTTTCTCCCATGTATTGATCTCATTCATCGCGTCCGTATCCCTTTCTCCAATTGACGATAGCTCAAGTAGATGGTGGTGGAAGTGATCGTGGTCGTTTATTAGCTGATCAAACTGAATCGATAATTGTTGACGATGTTCAGCAAAATGCCGTTTACAAAAGATACTTTTACAACCCTGACATGCCAAAATTCCTTGTTGGCAAAACTTGCATGATTTAGTCGATGCCATGGTGTTTCCCACCAAAAATATTATAGAAATTTTGTAGTCTGTTACGCCAAGTCTTTGGATTAGAAAGAGTTTCTCTTCTCTAAAATTATTCAACACTTTGAAAACAAAATTTTATTTTGTTTAGAATAATTAATTGGCAGTAGTGGTATAACTAGTTGATCTTAGTCTAAAAAATAATCTGTCTTAACCTAACTTATAATTTCAGAACAATATCTCACCTTGATTACGCTTTTAACAAATATTTGCGTTAGTAAATCACAACTGCAGTCGTGTAAGGTTGTGTCAATAAAAGAGAACAATGATGTGACACGGCGAAAAACAGTGATTTTTTTTCTTCTTTCTTTTCTATTTTGTTTTCTTATTCACCTTATATATAGTGTGTGCTCACGTTACAATGTGCATTATGTATATAAAGCATGTGCCAAATATTTGTAATCAAATAATAGCCATTCATGGCTAAAAAAACACAGGGTGATAGACGCTTTCACGTACTTTGAGATTACATACTTAGTTTTGTAATAACTTGTTCGTATATTAAAAGTAAATTTGAAAAGATGAATGAAAAAGAGGAAAAAAATGTATTCCTGAGGAATCTGCTGATGAGGGTATCTTTGTTGAGCTTGAATTTTTTTCTGAGAACAAACGCAATTCAATAAATGTTTATAGAGATTTGTAGAGAATTTTACGGGCTATCTGAATCTATAATTACTTTTCCCAAAATATTGATTTATAGTGATAATTTTGATAGAGTTTACGGTTGGCGAGAAAACTGAGAACTAGTGAAAAATGTCACGTGAGATTAAAAGTGACGCATATCTCAGCCAAGAGATATCGAGGACCCACAGCATGTATAAATGTGAAAAATCGGCACCATTAGCTTGTTCTTCACTTGTAACGATATGTTTTTACTACGTCAATGAAATCGGCATCGATACGGGGCTAAAAAGACAAATCGGACAGTTTTATCTAATCGTTGCCTTAAAATGGCAACAAAAAAGCTTCTATTTTTGCTTAGCAACTGAGCTAACACGTGCAAGCGAATTATAGTTCAAGAGACAGCGGCAAACTGACTTTATTTGATTGAATTCAGACATAAAAAGATTCTGTTTGCTCAATTATTGACGGATATGCTGATTTTTCAATTTATTAGTGTATTTATAAGTGCCAGTTTATCATCTTCTCTCAGTATACACACTGGAAACTATGGGTCATCTTTCATAGCGTCAGGTACTTCGCATGATCGATCTTTCTCCATTTGAATCTATTGCACACTTTTACAGCTTGACCTCCGTCACTTTCCTTTATGAAAATTCTTTTAAGTTACCTGCTCGATCAGTAATGCTAGAAAATGCAGTAACCAATAGAACTGCGACAGTCTAGCCGGCGGCATGTTAGTTCTAAAAATGACCAGTAACAGAATGCAGATAAATCGATCTGTTGGATTTTTCGTGTTTGCTTTTTTTGAATCAAAGGCGTAATATTACTACCGGTTCGGCAAAGTCAGTGCACTGAAGCCTTTCTCGTAAACGATGTCGAGAACGAAAAAGATAGATTTGTAACTTTCGTCGTTGGAAAGAGAAAATAGGGGCTCATGGACCGACCTATGAAACATTCGATTGGACAGCTAAGTTGTTCTTAAACTTTGTTCTAAACCTTTTGTTAAATTCTTTCGATCGAGAGTACACTTGAGAATTGAAAAATTCAAGCTGAGAATCGTGTAATGACAAATGAAGGGCATGAGTCTTCTTTCTTCTTCCAGGTGCATTATACATGAGAAGGTAGCGATCATCCAGCAGGAAGAATGCACGATAGCCAGAAAGAGAAGCAACAGAACGTAACGGTGATAAATCGTTACAAATCTCTTTTGACAATGTCTAAGAAGAATTGACCAGCAGTGGCCATCGCTTGACCTATTGAGTCTTAAATGACATCGACGTTCCGAATGCTGTCACTCTAATGACGTTCATCGTAGATCTCTATCTGGTTCTTTCTCGAGTTAGTCAAACATACTCTATTGTTGTTTTCTATCGGAAAAATAAACACTATAAAAGTATTTTTCACATCGGCTTTTGTCTTTGGTGCCGGTTTGAATGTTATCTTAATGTTCCAATAGGCTTGTCCAGCTAATGATTTCATTAAGTTAAATAAACTATAATCGTTTAAATATTTTACTATTAATAGTGATAAACATGTGTGCGCTGAAAAATGATGATAACCTTTTAGTTCAATTTCTGGAAGCTTTTCATTTTGTAAATGTAAAAGTAATTGCGAAGCTTGATATTCAAAAACTGAGTAGTCCTGTTTTATTTCACATAAGTTTTCTACACTATCAGAACCTAAAATCTAGCACTTCCTCGAGATCCACAGCTATATGAGTTATTATAAAATAAGCGACTCTAAACAAACCATTGGTAACTTTATGCTTTGAAATTTAGTACCGATTATTCATAGCCATCAGCACAAGACTAGAGATCTCTTTCCTAGAAGGAAAAACGCTTGATGCTAAACGTAGTTTGGATATGTACTTGATATAAAAATATGTTTAAAATTTTGTATGAAATTAAATAAATGGACTATTAAGTAGACTTCCGTCGGATGTTTTAAGTTTTCCTGTTACTTGTTCATTTGTTGTACAACTAGGGCTAATCAACAACAAATGAAAGCCTGTCAAACTAACTACGAGGACTCTCAATAGAAAAGTTACAATAGAATTGTTGGAGTTTCACTAACATAATAACGTCCAAATGATACGAGATAATAAAGACCGAAACCAAAGACAAAGAGCATATCTAGGATTATTAGGAGGGATTGTCTAAAATAAGGATAGTTAGGGCGATCAAAGATAGAGAGAGATGAATTAGACGGAAGCAGTTAGAGAACAGACAAGCACGCATATCGAGGTAATTATTTAAAAAAATGTAAAAATATTGAAGCGGATTAGCAGGCACTGCAGCTAGCTACACTAGTTTCGATACCCGTTGCAGCTAGCTGCATAAACATGCACACCATAGAACGGGCGCTGTGGCGACCTTTTACTCTAGTAACGAATTGGGTAACACGATTTTTAACTAGTTAAAGCTAGTTGGAAATCGCATACAGTATCTTGATTATCCATGAAGGAAGCATTTCTCAGAGTTGAATTTAGAGACAATAATATGTAAAATCTAATTTCCAACATTTTTTCCGCCTAACACAAATTTGAGAAAAGCTTCCTTGATAATGAAAATGCGATTCTTTTATTTATTTTAGATTTTTCACTATGAAAGAAGCGTTAGAAAAAGTATTGAAAACTGAATTTTCTGTATTACTGTTACTAGGTTCAACTCTGACAAATGCTTCCTTCGTGGTGAATAATCTTAATTACGTAGTACTGAGAAGATTATTATTAATCTCTATCTACGGACTTCGAATCTCTGCGGGAACCTCTTTTTCTTTCCTCTCATTTTTTCCATTCAGTATATAATAGTCGGTGCAACTAGCACTGAAGCGGGTTAGCTTTGTCCCGCTGCAGCTAGCTGTACCAGCTAAATTTTACTTGTTTAATCAGCTGCAGTCAATAGAGAAGTGCGGGCTTAGTCAGCCGATTCAATTTTTTTCTTCTCAATCCGTCGATTTTCTTCGTATGACTTTATTATTTAGATGCCACTGTTTTATTTGTCAAGATATGAGTCTGACAGATAAATTAAATATTCTTGATGATGGCCATGTTCAAGCCTCAGAATGGGAAAATAACGTTATGTGTCTTTACCATAAGGTTATATATCATATTCGGAAGATTTTACGGCAATGAATGGTTTGTAAAAGTTGTCTCGGTATTATCGTTTTCTTCACGACTGAAAGCAAATAACGATGTATTCTCTCACACCAATATATTGGTGTATTGCAGCCATATCGCGACCTGTCTGATAATATAACGGAATTAATGGAAAATTGCGATTAATAGTGACATAATGGTAAAATCTGAATACGATCTTCAAGGTTTAGAAGCAGAAATGTTGCTTTGTGATTCACTCTCACACTGCACTCATGTGCCGCTACCTTGGGTGAATACTTACTATAGTTCTCATAGTTCTCAGTGAATATGCAGCGAAAAAGTCAGAATTCTGCTCATAATTCTTAATTTTTTCAATCAGAACTCAACTTCTATGTAATAAAATATCACATTCGGAATCAGGATCGAAAACTGAGTCGACTGATGTGTATCTCGATCCCATCTGAGTACCTTTATTTTTTTCGAACTTTCACGTTGAAAATCGAGATTTTCACCAAAAAAATAAAACCGTACTAAAGATTTCAAAATACACATCAGTCAGCTCAGTTTTCGATCCTGATTCCGAATATGATATTTTTATTACATAGAAGTTGAGTTCTGATTGAGAAAATCGAGAATTATGAGCAGAATTCTGGCTTTTTCGCTGCATATTTAGAAAAAATGAATTTTTGACCTGATGACGGCCTTTTTAAATTGATCCAATGACATATTTTGATAGAGCTCAAAGAATTACATCTAACTGTTACAGTCTCACTTGAGTTCAAAAGTGTTCAGTGGACTGGCAACACTGGAAATAGGATCTCCTATACTTATCTGCCCTTATCCTGGTCGTATTTCGTTGTTATAAATATTTGAACATTTCTGATGATCTTTATTCATCTAGATTTGAGTAGAGCTGTGAAAGTTGCATCTAAGGGATACTTTTTCGAACAGTTTAGAAGCCAGTTTGTGCGAGAGGAGGGTCAAAAGCCGGGTTGGAGTCCAAAAACCAGGTATTGGTAAAAATCCTCTGGTGCATCAGCAGTACATTCCTGGGATTGGCGACATCGATGTTCCTGATCAGCGGACTTGATATTCCTAGTTACTTTTGAAAATTGAATTTGGAAAAAAAAGTTTTGCAATCCGGAGAAGATGTAGAGGAGTCAAAAATCTCAAAGCCATTTAAAGGAAAATGACTACGCTAGATTTGTAGGCCACATCGACCTTGTTACTCTCATATAGTTATTTCTAGAAAATATCGTGGGCCGAAAAGTGCCCTTACCGTCCCTCGTTCTTTAAAAATTTCCGATAAGCTAGAGAGATTTTATTTACATTCAGGGAACGCCTACGGGAACTTTTTTCTTTGCTTCGTTTTAGATTCGACCTGGAGACATTATGATCACGAGTCTAACGACTTGATATTAAGCTATATCACGCGTATTACTTATAAGTTGAATTTCTTACTTATATCTAACGAGAAAGTGAATTTAGACATTTATTCGATATCTTAACGGTAATCTCATTCTAGTCCAATTTCGAGATGAGTAAAACAGTTTTTGAGTAAAAACAGATGCCAGTTGGTCACGTCAGAACCACAAGAGGTGGTAGCTATGGATGAGAGTGAGTGAAGGATGAGAGAAATCGAAGTGCATGGGAAAAATGCTATGAAAAATGCATGATTCTGGATTCTGGCTTCTGGATGTAGTGGAACTCAGGGAAACTGGGAGAATTGACGTTCAATCCTTCGGTTCTCTGGGGAATTGGCACGGCTATGTTGACAGATTCTGGACAGATTAGAAATTCCTATTTCTCAGTCCTTGGATAGCCCTCAGAAGCACATCAACCACGACGTTCATATGCCAACTTGAGATCTAATCAGCCACATAATGTTCTATTGATCTGGAACAATTGAAAACGCGTTCTTCTTTTTGTGAGAACGCGGTCCTATCACGTAACAACGCGTTTTTATTGAATGCATCCGAACGCGCTCTTGAAGAACTGACTCTTATAAATCAGGAATGCGTTCTTGCTAAACGCACGAAAGCGTTCTAAGGCTATAAGAACGCGTTCTTTTTGAACGGTTCAAACGTATTCTTACAGTCATAGAACGCGATCACTATTGAACGCATCCGAACGCGGCCCAAGAGCGAGATTTTATCGATTAGGAACGCATTGAATGACAACACATTTGTCTTGAGAAGGAACGCGTTCTGCTTTTTGCGGAATGCGTTCGGAGGCGTTCTTTTTTTCTAAGAACGTGTTCTTGACCACTCGTTTTAATAAACGTTTTTTCATGGAAAGTATAAACCTAAAAGATTCGGTAGAGAACCGTGTTTTTTTTTAAGACTATCAATAGTAATAAAGATCAGATCATTACAAATACAGCACATCTCTATTGCTGAGTTCGTTTATTTTTCCAGGTAATAATTATCTCAAATACTAGCTAATGTATATATTTCACTAGCACTCAATTGTCTACTATAAGCATAAAATTCGTCAATTGAACCTTGAAACGGATAAGCTGGAATGTAATTATTCCCATAGCCAAATGAATAACCCAATGTAAGATATACATAATTTGGTATTAGGTAATAGGATGTAACTGTATTTGAACCTGTTGAACCCTGTGATACACCATTCACATACAAAGTAAGACCATTTGTCATACTATACGTACATGCAACATGTGTCCATGTATTTATTGATATGACTGGACCAATAACTGAGGGATAAGCTGATACTGGTGTGTTCGCATTCACTTGTGTCACTAATTGACCACTATATGTTAAACCCAATAATTCTTGTTGATAATTGTAACCAGGTTGTGAATATGATACATGCACTAAAACACCGCCCAGATTTGATGATGGATAAACCCACATAGCGTACGTGTACGGTTTACTCGTCGGATACGAGTACGACGAAATGCCGTATAATTGAAAGTACGAAGAAGTTGTTGTCATACGAATTGCTTGACCAATACTATTATGTCCTGTTACGGATGTTATACTATAGGCTGTACCATTTAAACGATTAGGTCCGTTATCGTAGTACGGATTAGGAAGATCAAACGAAAAGTACCATAACTGAGTAGCATCAGCTAATATTTCTGTTGAACTTTTAGCTCTTGTTATTAGTGCAACATTATCAATATAGTTAGAAAAATATGTCGTTGAAACAAGAGGCGAATAGCCAATGGTAATTGAACCATTGTAGCCAAGATATGGTGTTGTTACTGCTGAATGAACCGCATCTTGATAACCGTTTAAGTAGATGATTTGCTGTGAGGCAGAGTAGTCATAAACGAATGCAACATGATACCAGTTACTTGCATTTACCGTTGTTACACCGGATAAATCTATATAATTAAAACTCATGTACAATTTTCCGCTACGAAGTATAAAATATAGACATTGACTTGTACAAGTTGTGCATGTACATTGACCAAATATTGGCCAATCACCCGAAACAGAAGTTGGATAAATCCAAGCTTCTACAGTAAAACTACGATACGTTAAATTAAAGTACGATGTCATTTGAAAGTAACTATTGGACGTGTACATGTATAACATTTGTCCTGAACCGTATAAAGTATAACCACTACTTTGGTAAGTAGCAGAGCCGACTAATGCACCATTCCACGTTCCATTTAAATCGTTGGCATTACTATCAAATCCCCAATAAGCAGCAATCACCGGAAGAGAGACTGTTACTGTGGAAGTTGCTGTAGCTGTTGAAAGTGAGTCAGTGTAAGAACCAATGTATGGAAGGAAAAGCGGTATGCGTACTTTTTCGACCGAAAATGATTGCTATCGGTATAACAATAGCAGCAATTATCAGCCCACATAGCACTATACCGGTGATAATCAAACACTTTTTTGTCATCCATTTTGGGCTTTTGAATCTTTTATAGTACAAATCTCACAAAGAGGCAATAGTAGCACAGATTGTACTTACTTTAATTTACTCTTCGTCGTTTTAACTTTTGATTGGGTAATAGTACGAGTTCTTCCAGGTGATATTGATCTGCCCTAAATACCAGAGAATATTAACTGCATTATAAGAAAGTATATTTTTAATTTAAACGCTTATGAGCCATTAAAGATAAGTTACGACCTAACGTGCTCAATCGATTATCTCAGATTTCTTCCAATATAGTAGACTTCTTTAAAGCAAACATTTTCATGAATTTTGGTGAAAACCGCCGACTCTAAAGTTGTTGGCGTGCTGAGATATTCAATTTTTGCAAAGAGCCCGAAAATGCACAAATTCCGGCAGCCAAGGAAACTGTCAATGCAAACTACGTACAACTCCGTAACGACACATTACTTAGACTTAAGAATTCTATCATAACTACTAGATAGTGTCTAATACAAATTCACACAACCACGAGCTCTAGACATGCTTCCGTTCTTTTACAGTAGATGATCCTGTGAAAGCCCAAATCATCGATCCGGTCGTTTTGGCAAACGGTTTTCTCCCGAGAAGCCGGGCAAATTTCTCGCCCACTACGATATTGGTGGAGTACACCGAGTGTACTATCATGAGCCATGGTGGGATTTTTGGGATTTTTTAAAATTTCCTGGAAAACCAAGTGAGGTTTCTAGAAAACCAGACCATGAAATTTTCCAATCGAATTTGGGATTTCTACATCAGCCATTTTATAGAGCATATCAGGTTACACATGTCAAGCTATTTTTATAACTATTCGATTAGTTCTGATGGAATCAGAAACATTTAGTTCAAGTATTGCTTAAAAGCATACATATATAAGATGCACCCAGGGCAGCCTTGCAGTGAAATTTATTTTTCGACACTTCATACACCATTCGATAGAGAATTTCGCGGTGATCACGAATATCACTTCCAAGGCTCTCAGAACCCTTT